GTCCTCAGCACCTTTCAAGTTGATAGCAGCCCCAAACCACTGTCAGGTATCCTGTATCTCAAACACAGTATAACCCAAACCTCTTCATGTCCCAGCAAAACATGTTGTTCTGATTAATTTATGGCCAAGAAAGTCAGTATGATGAAATCAAAATAAAATCCAAGAAGATAAATTTTTTTTCTCCCTGTTTGTCTTATGTGGTATACATAAACCTTTGTTCACTATTTTCAAGTTCTTGTATACAGATCTTGTATCAGAGCTGGTTGAGACAAGGATCGATTGTTATGTTCGTGGAAGAGCGTGTCAAAATCCCATTTGTTCAGTTATTCACCAGACAACTCCTAGATGAGTCTGACTTCCCTCTGTGCTATATGGAAAAAGAAAAGGAGGTAGAACTAAAGGAAAAATCAAGACTTTACTTTTCACTTATTTCCACCATAGATTTTTAAGAGAGAACTAAAAGGAATATATTTTCTACCTATTTCTAAAAAATATTTATCAAAAGAAGGCCAGCCATTTCAGGGCAAGTCCATCTTAAATTGTAGAAAAACAGTGTTTATTTGTGTGTTTCAACAAATAAATCCCTCTAGGTCAGGTAGACTGGGTTCACTAGCCACCGTTGACTGACAGCTGCCAAGGCAGGCAGATATCCATCTGGGTCTTCTTCCCAATTCCTTCCAACCAAGTGACAAGGCATAAATGTGCATTGCAAAATAAAGTAGATAGAAGGATTATTAATGATGTTTTGTTAAATGCTGCTGATTCCAGAGTCCTTCAGCTTGAAGTCTGGAAAATTTAAGAATGGTACATTTACTTTTTCCTGTTCTGACTTGATCATTTCACTTCTAGCCGATAAAAAGGAATCTTAAAATAAGGCAAAACAACAACAAATCATTTTCTGAGGCCACAACATTAGATTGTTGTGTCATGGGTAGCAAATTTAGGATTTAAGCTCTACTACTAACTGGTCGCATCATGCTGTGTAAAGTCGCTTCACTTCTCAAAACTTGGGTTGTCTTATTTGTAAAATGAAGGTATTGATCTTGCCTTAACTGGTCTTTAAGATCCCTTGCGGTTCATCAGCCGGAGACTTTTCTGTCTGCCAGTCATCACACAGGCGTGTACACAGTGGAGAGTCCGCCTCCTTAGGAGAATTTGTTGTGTTTTTCTGTTTAAGCTAGAGGCAAGCATTGATCATTACATGTCTAAATAAAGCAACTTATAAGCCCTTCCCAAGTGCTTCCAAGTCAATGAAATCATGTACATTTAGAATCCCATGAGATGATCCTTCAAGTTCCAGAAAGAAACACTCAGGAACGTTGTAATTCCATCATTATGAAACGTCCACTATGGAGTATAATTATCAACATTTCTCAGTTTATTTATGCTTCTGTTATTGTCTCTTAAAATCATCACTTTTTGGACTTTTTCACTTTTTCTCTTTTTCATCAATAGAGCTAGCAGTGAGTATTTGGTGGGGAGAGGGGAAGGCATCCCTCTAAACACATGCCCAGAAATAAGTTATCCCTTGATGTGTATACAGCAAAAGGAAGGGAACCGTAAAGTCATTTAAGGGGATTATCTTTTTTAATTGGTACATTATAATTGTACATAATAGTGAGATCATTATGCCATATTCATATGTGCATATGACATAATTGGAACAATAAAGTTGTTTTAGAGGATGATACTGTGAACTTACCAAAGCACCTTCACTGGTAAGTGGCTCAAGGTTGTGCAGAAGAGCCCTTGAATGCATAACTCAGGATTTTGTCTTTGTACCATGGACCAGCAGAGTATTTTTGATCTATTCCTTTGCTCTTGATGGACCATTTTTCTTGAATGGTAGAGAAAACCCCCATCTCCAGTCTGGTACACCTACCATATAATCACAAATGTCAATTTACAAAGAGCCCTGAGAGAATTCATTTTTGTCATTTCCTTGTCCCAAATTCCAGCCTCCTTTCAAGGTATGCTGATAGGTGATGATAGAGATGCGCAACTCCATGATGTTTTGCCAAAGTCGGTGGGAGAAACAACAGGGCTGCCCACATCTTCTTATATTTAGGCTCAGTTTAATCTATTTTGTACCTCATTCTTTGTACCACAAAACCTCTGATCTTGCAAGGTGGCTTTCCACCTCATAATTATGATTTACTTTGTTTGCATGTGCTGTTTTTGTTCCAGAGTACTCATTATGATGATCATAGGAAGTATTCTCACCTGGGATCAGGTATGCTCGAGCTAGCCCTTCCTGTGGAGTCAAGACACAGAGATTTTGCTCATTCTTTCTCTCTTCTCATTTTATCTGTTTTCAAGTGAAACCTTGGCAACATTTACTACTTCCTCTGAATTACTAGACTTTGAACACCATAATTTTATTTCTACTGTCTCACCCTGATCATTTGCTTCCTCTAGTACAATTCACCTTTTGATCAAAGTGCCCTGTTGACTAGGTCCTTTCCACCTTAGGCTCCCCTTCCATGCTCCATTTGGGTTGCACCCACACCAAACACCTTGCTCCCCACCAAGCTCTAGTCACTCAACAGCTCCTCTGAGCTTTTGCATGTGTTCTTCTGCTCTCATGACTTGCTTAAAATGTATTTGCCTCAAGACTCATCTGGAGTGTGGCTGCATCCGGGAAGTCTTCCCTGGCCCCTACCCACTGGCAGCCCCACATTCTCCTCCTGTGTCCACCCATAGCAGCCCTCTTAGGTTAAGAATTGATTGCAAGCCTATTTGTTTTCTTCTTCCTTTCCTATCCTGTTTTCAGTGCTCAAATACATATAATGGATATCTTTAGTTTGCATTTCATGTCACTAAAATTTGCCAGCCTGCAGTGGCTTCACCAGTGTATTATTATTCTCCTTCTGACCACATTCTGACCTCAGAGGGGATGGTGCTAGGATGACGGCTTCCTTCCTCCACCCCTTCCCTATTTGCTGTTTTGTAAAGTTCGTCCTAATAATCCCTAGAAGTAAATTAGCACAAAGCAAGAGATTTGGCAGGAAGTGTATGTTTTGGAATCTGCCAAGCCAGGAGGGTTTAAGGTGTCTATTAAAGAGTTTTGCAAATGCCATTTATACCCGAGGAACAGCAGCACCATTTATCACTCACTTTCTTGGCTATAAAACAATCTCAGCCAAGCTGAGGCTGATTATATTGGCCATGCAATAAAAGGAATTTATTCATCATACACAATCTCCTGTTAACTAAATTAGAATCTTAAGTGGTGACTGAAAGGAGAGCTGACATATCAGTGCACAAACAGTTGTCCTCTAGACCAAAAAGGTGACTCTGAAGAGTATTTTTTAATTATTTTCTTTCCTAAATCTAATTATTGTTGACTTCTGAAGATGTCTAATAATGAACTCGTTCATATATCATTAACCTTTATCTTTTACCTCCACCATTCTCATTCACATTCATATTTGGCATGGCTAGGGGCTTTACATCTGCTTAAATTCTTCCTAGTTTTCTGAATGGCTTTTATTTAAATACCTTATAAAGCAGGGGCTCTTTGATATGCACCTGAATCTATTTCCTGGAAGAATGTTGATTTCTTTTCTTTCTTTCTTGGGGGGGGGCGGGGGGGTACTGAGGATTAAACCCAGGGTGCTTACCCACTGAGCCATATTCTTGGCCTTTTTAATATTATATTTAGAGACAGGGTCTCACTGAGTTGCTAAGTGCCTCGCTAAGTTGCTGAGGCTGGCTTTGAACTCACAATCCTCCTGCTTTAGCCTCCCAAGCTTCTGGGATTACAGACATGTACCACCATGCCCAGCAAGAATATTGATTTCTTGAGAGAATCAAGAACTTTGGCAAACTCTTCCCATTTCTCTGACTTTAAATATGTCTCCCCAGTTGCCTCTTCCCCAAGCACTGGAGGTGACTGCTCACCGTCTTGATCTAGTCCAAACTCAAGATTGTCAACTTTCTTCCCCATTAGTGGCTACTCAAAAGGAATTGATTTCTTCTCTTCCTAGCTTTCTTCATAGTACCCTTTCCCTGGGACTGAGCAGACACCAGTGAGCTTTCCCCTCCCACAGTTCCATCCTGTGACGATGTTCTCTCCCTGTACAGTTGAAAAATAAATACTTCAAAGAGAGTCACTTTTCCTTTCTCCAGTGCCCAGTGTGCATGTGGAAATGGTGGTAGTGAAATACAGAGAGGGGCAAAGTGTGTGCTTTCAAATACACACTAAAAGTCTAAGATTTCACACCTTGCTAATAGTGCAATTCAGAGACTGGAGGTTGAAGGATCTGTAAAGGACTGAAAAGAGGTGGATGTTCACATGCAAATGAAACAGGGCTGCTTTTCAGCATTGCCTTTCTGTTAGCAAATGCAATGGAAGAGAAAAGAACACCACATGGTATTCTTTTGCTCACTGTTCCATTTTTCTCCTCACCTGTCTTCTTTTCCCATCCCCTAACTCCACCTACCTTCTTTGGGGAAGGAACCTGTGGTCCTTCTTAGATGTGCTCATCTGTACATCTCTCAGAAGGTCCGATTTGCTCTGCATTGATGAACAGATGAGTTCTCAGTCACTCTAACCTCAGCATCTCCTCCACGTCCTTTTCCAAGAAGAAAGCTCCCAGTGGGACCTTCCGGGTGATGGCTGGGCTGCTCATCAGACTCTTAATCTTGCTTATTCTAGCATCCATGCTAATAGTTTATTTTTACTTTGAAATTTGAGAGGGTGAAGAAATCTAGTTTCTTTGGGAAATCTTTGAAGAGCGAAGTTTCTAGTGGGTGGATAGACAGTTTTGTTCTGAACATGATATGAATGTGAGCACAGAAGCAACAGTTCAGCTTCACACACTGACTGACCATAGATATGGCCATCTCTTTGGCCTGAAAGGAATCCTGGTCCCTGTGCACTGGATGAGAGAAGTCTTTCCTTTTGGCATGTCTTCACCTTGTTCTTAAAAGTCATATACTCTAAGGACTTGGCTCACATACTCTGTTGGTGGTGGCTGACTCTCCTTTTTTCTCAGGGAGGAAGATGAATACTCGGAACTGCGATCTGAACTCAGCCAGAGTCAACACGAGGTCAACGAGGACTCTAGAAGCATGGACCAAGACCAGACCTCTGTCTCCATCCCTGAAAACCAGTCCACCATGGTCACTGCTGACATGGGTGAGTCGGCCAGCCCCCCACCACCACACCAGAGTTGGGTATTCTGGATTGTGAAAGGAATCTGAGAAACACAGGGCAGCCTGAGTTAAAAATTCAATTCCCCGAGGAGTTTGCTGAGTAGATGAAGACGTTCAGTCCCTTACTCACCACTTCATTGGCCAAAATGCAACTGAAGAGCTGAATTAGCCTTCTGCCCTGATAGGATTGTGATTCAAGCAGATGTCACCTCTGTTTAGAAATTTGAGAAACAGGGAACCTATTAAAAAGGCCACTGGAGCGTTCCACATTAAAGTCGTAACTGAACTATGATGGTATGAGTGGAAAGGAGGGACATGGGTGGCAGTACTTTGCAGTGGAAGAGGCCCAGCAGGTCTCAACAACTCTTGGGTAAGAAGGAACAGTTCAAAATGACTTCAGCACATTGATCCTAAGTGACTCAGAGGATGGTCACATTCCTTGGTTAAGGAAGTTAAATTGAGAAATAAGATGAGAAATGGTCACAGTATGTTTGAGATCGTAGAGCAATGTCCATGTGGAAATATCTGGCACATCGAGTTTTAAACTGCAGGTCATGACCCACTTTTGGGTCCTGAAATTATATGAAAACTAAAGTCTCATGGAAATGAAAACAGAGACAGGATTGTTTCATGAAACTTGTGTATTGCTTGTGTTTGTGTAGTAAGTTGCTAAATGAACTCTTCTGAGTTGCAGTCAAAATGTTGTACAATATTGGGCTGGGGATGTGGCTCAAGCGGTAGCGAGCTTGCCTGGCATGCGTGCGGCCCGAGTTCGATCCTCAGCACCACATACAAACAAAGATGTTGTGTCCGCCAAAAACTAAAAAATAAATATTAAAATTCTCTCTCTCTCTCTCTCTCTCACTCTATCTTAAAAAAAAAAAAAATGTTGTACAATATTGGTCCACCCAGAAATGCCTGCCTGGATTGAAATTGAAGGTAGAGGCTTTGAAGTCAACTGAGCTAAAGTGATCCCATGGTTGAAAGGATGTGGAGCCAAAAGAGGAAGGCACCCCATGTCTTAGGAAACACTCATACTGAGTATGGAGATGGAAGAATGATCAGGAGAAGAAAAGTATACTGAGTTTCATGGGACTTAAAATTAATTGGGGAGTGAAATTTTATCTAAATAGTACACATTTATATTTAATTACCAACCTAAACATGTGTGATAATACCCCAAACAGTCACACAACATGGTATCATGTGACTGTATCAAAGACTCTGAGTCAGCCCAGGGTTCCAGGCTTTCTCTACAAAGTGACAGGTAAGCTGAAATGCAGAGGGTCAGTAGAAATTAAGCAGGTAAAGGGGAAGATGACATCCCTCCAGGTGGGGTACCTTCAAGGAGGGGAAAGACTATTGAGGTAAGGTGGGCTGGGGCACACAGTGTGGATATTGCACACACTGTTAGAAAGTCTGGCTTTTATCCGGAGACCCACCAGAAGGACCGAAAGATTTCAACAGTGGAAGAAGCGGGTGAGATGTTAAGATTTATATTTTTGAATCAGTCCTTCTTCAGTATGGAAAAAGAGTCGTAGATTAAGGTGAATTAGGGAGGTTAGCTAGGAAACCATTCAAAAATCTAGTGGGGCAAAATTATTGCTAGGACTAGGGTGGTGGCAGTCGAAATATAAAAAAGAAAATGGATATGGAGAAGGTGAGAATTTAGCAAGATTTGCTGCAGGAGTAAAATAGGGCAAAGGCAAACGTGTGTGTGCGCGCGTGCGTGCGTGCGTGCGTGCGTGCGTGCGTGCGTGCGTGCGTGTGTGTGTGTATGGGCAGGGGCAGGGATGTCCCTGAAGGGTTTGGTTTTCACAGTTTGGTGTGGTTGATGGTGGGCCACTCACCACTATGGGGAGTCTAGCAGAGAGAACCAGGCGGTTTTGCAGTGAGTTTTGTTTTGTTTTGCAGTGAGTTTTGTTTTGTTTTGCAGTGAGTTTTGTTTTGTTTTGCTAATAGGGGAGGGTGGAGGAACAGGTGGAGATCTTCTGTTTTATTGGGCACCAGTTTAAGGTGTCTTGAGGTATTTGGATGGAGATGCTTCAGAAGGTAGTAGGCACTGAGATAAGAAGTGAAGAGGAAAGTTCTGGACCTCAGGTTGTTTGCAGATGTCAGAGATGTGCAGAGAGTGAGAAGTGAGCCTGACGGAGCCCTGGGGGCCACCAGCTGAGGACCCATCAGGAGCCAGTGGCAGGGATTTGCCTTGCACCGTTTCAGTCTCAGTTTAAATGTGCCTCCTCAGAAGGTCTCGGGAAGCCCCAGTCTGTGTGACTGTGCGGACATTGTCACTGCCCCATTTGTTGCCTTCTCATATGACGTTGAAATTTTAAATCATGTCGCTGTTTGACTCTCCCACTAAACTCTTTTAGGCAGAAATGTGGTTGTTCATCTGCTAGTGTAACTCTGGAGCCAACGAGAGCCTGGCATGTGACATATGTTCAAAGATCCTGTTGGAACCGATAAATGAATGAAGCAGTCAACCAATCCACCAACCAGTCAGCCAAATAAATGGGTAGGGAGAAAATGAGAAGAGGGGAATCCTAGGGTTATGCCTTGGTGTTGGCCTTAGCAGCAATTCAGGCAGCAGCAAGTGCTTTAAAGACACAGTCCCCCATTGTACGACTGGCTCCCACACTCGGCTCCCTCAAATCTGGAGTGACATCACCAGGGCCTGAAGCTCCTGCCTCCGCTGCCCTCCTTGTCTTCCAGCTCTGGCCACACTGGCCTTCTTTCTCACTGTCCCTTCTCCTGCCTGCAGGCTCTGCATTCTCTCCCTGCTCTTTCCAAGAGTCTGTGCATGGCTTTTCCTTCCGTCAATCAACTGTCTTCTGCCCAGGTCTCCCTGACTCCTTCAGGTCTGCAGCGTCACTCGCTGCAGGCACACCCATCCCTCGTAGCACTTAGAACATAGCACCTGAGCATAGGTTGTGTTTGGCATTTAGTCCCTCAAGTGTTACAAGTCATTGTCACTTACATGCTGGCGGGGAGCTTAGCAACCTTGTATGCCAGCCTCACAGTGCCCACAGGTAAGAGGCACTGGAGTGAATCCCTGAGTAGGAGTGGACACCACCTTGGAGCTCAGAGTTCTTTGGAGAATGTGGTGATAGGTCAGCAGGGAAGACCCACAGTGGGGTCAGGATCACCCAGGAGGCCTGCAGAGAACCTTCATGATAACCTCAGGCAGAACCCTGAGAAGACTTTGTGGAAGTCACAGCTCAGTGGAAATGCAAGGGTCAAATGGGAGAGAAGCAGGTCGGGGAGGCTGCTCGGGGCAGAGAAAGTCTGCCAGGTCCCTGAGGACAACAAGCACTTGGGGACAACTTTGAGAAGTGCAGGAAGGCTGCAGCACAGAGACAGTCATTGTGTGTGTTAATCGGAACTGGCTGGCTGCCTCTTCTTATTCCTTTGCCATTTTCCAATTAAATTGCTTTAATAGGGAAAAAAGCTTCCATATATAAACACCATTATAGGAAATCATTAAAAAGCATCCATTTCATTATGCTTGCTATATTTGCAAACCTGCATTAGTAACCCAGAGGTTTTCTTGGGCTGGATTTTATATGCAGAGTTTGCTACAGTGTATTTGCTGATCTCTAAAGATAACAGGAGTAGTCCAATCTACTCACTTCATCAAAAAGCACTTTTCTTTTGTTTTGCAAATGCCACCTGTCACAGCCTGGCTGCCTGTTCTGTAACCTGGCTCCTGGGCACTGTCTTCTAGGCCTAGAGGGGTAAATGAGCAGTTCAGAAAGTGCTTGAACTTTCCCAAGTAGCTAAATAAAGGAGAAAGGTCCTCAAAAAACACATTGCATTTTAAAATAAATAACATTACCTCTTTTCAAACCTGGTCACACAGTTGGGAAATATAGGTAACTGAATGGCTAAAGTCAAGGTTGAAATCATGGCTTAGAGCTTTTGTTTCCTCAGTCAAGCGAAGTGTTGTAGTTAGAAGTGAGACTGGATGTAACAGTTAATATGTTTTGCTCATGTACTGTACCATGTGTTGAATCCCAATCATGAATGAGGCCCTGAAGTCTTAATAGGGGATCAGAGTTCAGAGAAGGTTAGTCACTTGTCCAAGGCCACACAGTTAAGAGATTTTTGTTGCTGTGCCTGTTTCTGCAGACAGCTTTATTTTTGCACTCCTATTGCATTAGTGAGACATGGTTGATATTGTACCCTTCTTGCCACCCTTCAAGGTCTCTAGTGCTGATAGGGGAATTTTAGGAGCAGCTGTGTGATCACAAGCACCTGGCCTAATTGCCGAGCATTTGTAATTAAACAAGATTCTGCAGATCTCTGAATGTGAAACAACACACTCAGCCCAAACAATTCAGGGTGTTGCAATCAAGCAGAGGACAGATGTATGCATGGGCCCATCGCGTCACACGTGTGTGGCGTCCCCTCCAGCAGGCTCTGTTCCCAGCCCTACTAATGGAACAGCAAAGCTTTTCTGGAGCAATTGCCTGTAAAACAAACAAAATCCCTGATCCCATAGACCTTTGTAGAGCTAGTGGGGGGCTCTGCTCTGGTATTTTGAGACGATTTCTGGATTTTAGCAAGGAACTTTTATTTTTCTGGAACTTAGCAACGTTAAGCTGTTATACGCTCATAGATTGAAAGGAAGCATAGGATCCTATGCTCACTGGTGCGATCATATAGATGGTATTTTCCTTAGTATGAGTCGTTTTTGGAGGACAACCAAGGAAGAATTTACACATGGAACCTGGCTTTTTGGCACGGCCGTGACTATGAAATATGTTTAACATTAAAGCCAGATTTTCCTGGCTTAGTGGCTGTTGAGGCTTAATGGCTTCGGGAAAAATGTTTAGAAGTGTCAAGCAGCCACTCAAAGTCGGGAGATCAAGTCAGCGCAGGAAAAGGCTGCCCTGCCTCTTCCAAAAACAATTTTTGCAAACTGGGAGAGAAGTGTTTGCAAAGGTGAGGCGGCCTCTCTGGAGAAGGCTCACTTTTTGCTAA